CGGGAGTCTTCAGGAGTCCTGAGAAATCCCTTGAAAGTCCCACCTGACTCCTACAGGATCCTCCAGGATCCCGCAGGACCCCGTGACAGGAGTCCCGTGGGAGTTTTGCCGGGAGTCTCGACTAGGGGTACTGTTTTTGTAGATATCTCAGACACAGTAGCGAAGATCTAAAAAATCAAACAAGATTTGCAAAATGTTATTTGGATCTGATTTTCTCTAAAACTTTTGTCCAATTATATTTTTCCAATACAACAAAAATGCACAAAATAAGAGACTTTTTTCAGCCAGTCTACAGACTAAAAGTGAGTTAGATGGAAGTCTTATGATTCGTCTCTAGTGATTTTGATCGTTTAATTTGCCAATAAAACGTTCGTGTTAGAATTTTTAGAAAATACATATCCACGTGAAACGTCATGTACCAAAAGCTTGATAATTTTTAAACCAAGGTTTGCTTCGCACTCTTATCTACATATAAGACTTAAAACTGCGATCGTTTTTTCATTCATGGTTGTAGTTGTTCGAGGAAAAACACTCATATGTGATCGTATGTCTAATGATCATAACTACGTATATACAACAAAAAAATGTGAAAACAATTTCTACTCAGGATCTCGAAGGGGATATTATCACTAGTATAAGTTTGTTACTAGAGGCAATCCAACATTCTGAGCATGAAACAGTCAAACAAAGCTGAATTGATCATTGTCAACAGTAAAATGAATTTATACTGATAAAACGCACAACTACCATATGATCAACTACTTTCCCTAGTGAAACTTCTTGTAACTAAGATCTTGACTTCTTGAATTTTTTCAGTAAGATCTTGGTAATGGTAAGAAAATATAAGAATTCAAGAAATTTCAAGAAGTCAAGATCTTAAACATGTTGTAATTTCTTGACCAAGATCTTCGAAATTTTTGAATCATCGTTTTGTTTTACACTCTTGTGCAAATATAAGTGCGAATATTTTCACACTTAGAATTTTTTTCCTTATTGACCATAGTTGTTTAAGGAAGAATCTACGACTATATACGGTCGTATATTCAATGGCTACGACTGTCATAAATAAAAACAAAATGTAAAGAAAATTTGTCACTCAAACTCCTGCAACATTTTGAGTGAATTCACTCAGGATCTTGAAATTTCTTAACCCGAGATCTTGAGCGAAGTAAGCGAAGATATTTCAAGATTTTGACTGAAATATTCAAGAATTCAAGATCTTGACTTCTTGATGCTTTTTCCAAGATTTTGTGACATTTCTTAACCCAAGATCTTCGATACAAGAAGTTTCACTAGGGTTGTGCATTTTCATTCTAAGATCTTTGCCCAGTCAGCATGTTTAATTTTTTCAGCATTCTCTTATAGGTTAGGTTGTAGGTTACGCCACTCATAACCTATTTTTAACCTAAAGGAAAAAAAACGATTTTGAACGACCACTTTAAAACAGCCAACACTTTGAGTAATCAAGCGTAGTCCGAGTGGAAAATTTATCGATTGAGGATAAATCAGACCGAAGTTCTCTAGTTTAAACTGAACTGTTTTTAAACTGAAAAATAGCACAATCAAAAAAGGAAGTCAGAGAAAAAACTTACGTTAAGTTTGCTAAAGATAGATGGCGAATACACAACAATAACAGAACCTTCATAGCATCGAGAGCCTAACGTGAAATTCTGGTCTACTCTTAAGAGTGTCTCCTTATCTAGAAAGCTATTTTCCAAAGATTAAATTAAAGAATAAAAGACTCAACCGACTCATTTCTATATTCATGTAAAATGTGATTTATTTTGTATAAGCTTACCTTTCAGACGGTGTTTAGATGAAAAGCAATAACGATATGGAACAAAGCTGAAGTTTAGGCTTCTGAAACCAGATTTTGGGAAAAAATTGGAAAAGGTTCTATTAGGTTAACCTAGGTTAGGTTACGGAAAACATTAATAGGTTAGGTTAGGTTTAGGTTGTGAACATTTTTATAGGTTAGGTTATAGGTTGCCAAAAAGTCATAACCTGCAGGACTCTAACTACAGATGTCTTAATCACGCTTTTTTTCTTGATTTTTTGATTTCATTTCCTTTTTTTTGATTTCGGGCCTTGTGTACTAAACATTCTTTTCTGAGCATTATGTGAGTACAGACCAACTTTCTTGTTCTATTTTTTTGTAAGATGACACACAAAGTTAAATTATCTTTCTCAAAAAAAGATTCTCTTACCCATATAATACGCCAGATTTATAAGCTCTAACTCTGCGTATGGTCTTTATTTGAACATGCTAACTGCGCAAAGATCATAAATGAAAACGGACAAAGACGTTGATCATATGGTAGTTGTGCGTTTTATCAGTATAAATTCATTTTAAGACATACAAGACATACGATTAGAGATGTGCAACTCGACCCCTATCCGATCCGAAGGTTAGTTATGGGCACAAAGTTGTCGGGTACGGATTTCGTTTTTTTAAAATTTATCCGAAGCCAGGAACGTAAAAATTATAAAATTTGAATACAAGATTTTGGCTAAAATATATTAAGTTTTAAAAGAGTTAATGGGTGGTCACAAAGTTTCTAGACAAAATGTTCGTTCACTTTTGGCCCGCTTAAAAGTATCTCCGACGAATCAAAATCTATGTGTTAGAACATGATATTTCAATAAAAAACTAATATTTTTAGAATCGGAGGCTTTCAAAAAACCCGCTAGGAAATCATCAAAAGCTATTTTCCAAGGCATAAAAATTAGTGCGTTGGAAGGACTCTTCAACCATGTATAAGTCTCAAAATCAATTTTTTGGACGAAAATATAGTTTTCTGAGCCCTTTAAGGGCTTCTCCCCATTCGGTCTTATTAATAATAAGACCGAATAAACCTAAAAACATAAGTTTGTCATTATTTCCTGGCCACCCGATAATAAAAATACTCTAAAAGCTCCTGATAAGCCAAATAATTTCTCATTGTTAAAAGAAATATATATTCTTTACCTAATATAATAATGCCGGTAAACAGTCCACGAATTGATTTTTGACAATTGACATAAAATACATGTTCGTCTTCATCGTCACCATGATGTCTATGAGAATTTTTAATTATTTTGTTGTTATTTGAAGTTATATTGTTTTCATTTGTTACATCTTCAGCTGAATTTTGATGTTCGTTATTTGATGTTGAAGATAGTTTTCTTCCAAGATTTTGCCATATAATAAAACATAATGTGAAACTCATCAGTGTATATTCTACAGTGCATGGAAATAAATATGGTGCAAATGTATGTTCAGTTTTTGTTATTAATTCTGCATCATAATTTTTATAACCGCATAATATACTTGAATTTGTTAGACTAAAATGACATAAGAATATTGAATCAGTTTTTGACTTAACAATTAGTGTATAAGTGGAGCGACCTATACACTTGAATCAAAGCTAGAATTTAACTGTAATATCTTATCAGCTTGGCTCATCATATAGTGAAAGAAGGTTATATAGTGGGTCGTAGACTGCAGTGCGTAACGCTAAGCTGTACTTTTACCGATGGATTAGCGAACGTGGTCCGATAATCCTAAAAACGACACCATATAATATAACCTTGTCATATATTAAATGAAACACGGCGCCTAACGGAATGCAGAATATAAATCTACCCCGAGGCAATGAGCATTAGATAGCTTGTCCGAGACTATTACGCGACCGCCGTTGCCGGGATTCGAACTCCGTATGTTTGAAGTACGTTGTCTGCCCACTGGCCGACTGAGTCAGGCTGCTTTTTTTCTTCTTTTTCTTCTTGTCTTTCCTCATTAACGAAAATTCTTTTCTCAATAAAGAAATAAACGATTTATTTTGATCTCAAAGTCTCCTTAAAAAATGGCGCTGGCAACAAAATGTATGAAAAACTTCTAAGTCCAACATACATTTTCCGTTAACTTCTTCCATCTCAGGGCACAGAATGTGGACCACTGCTCAAAAAATGAATAAGCATTCGTTAATCTCGAGTATATCAAACTCAATATTCCGTTTTTAGAACTTTTTTAAGTAACGTAGTTCTCTAGATCATGAGCGCACATTTTACACAAAACAGTGACCAAACAAAAAAAACATTTTTCGCTTCAAAAACCACGTGTAGATTTTGAATAACTTTCAATAGAAAGAAGACGCAAAATTGTTCTTTTCTATTTTTTAGATAGGAGTTTCACCTATATTTTTGTGTGAACGTAAGGTTCAAGATGTCAAGCTATATACCAGAAGAATCTTTCAAAAACCAGATTGCTCACTCATGAATTTTCATACTATGTCTCACAATGTGGGCTAATAGCTTCGAGTGTCTTGTTTCATTTTAGGTTATGTATGAGGCTGAAACTTTTAGAGCATCAGTAATTGTTTAATGCTGTCTAAAAAAATGATACAACTTTTTTCATCATTCTGATCAAATAGACTAGAAAAATTCAGTAGTATCTCAAATTTCAGAGCAATTTGTTTAGTTTTTGGATTTCAGAGTTATGAATTTCATATACATAGCGCAAATCCGACTATTTTAGAAAACTCTCAAACATGTATCCCTTTGATTTATAGATAAACAAGGTTATTATCATATCATCGTCCCCTTCTAGTACGAGGCGGACGAACAGACATTAAAAAAAATTGCAACGGAACTGAACGTGCGGGATCCTTGTCGTTAAAATCGCTCCATTCTGGACGATTACCTGCGATTAGCAATAAAATCGCCAATCAATCGCAATTTTGACTATAATCGTCCATAAATTGCGATAATCGTCCATAATATCGGCGATTTTTAACCACTGGTGATTAATTGACTTGCATGAAAAATCGCCAGTTGTTAAAAATCACCGATATATCGCCATTCTTAAAAACATCGAAAGTTAATTATGATTAATTAGCGATCCTGATGATTTTTCTGTTTTTTTTGAATAATGATCAATTAATTGCAATTAATTGTTGATTTTAAGCGATTAAATGTTTTTTTGTTATTCATCGTTTTATTCCGCAGTAGAGTAAGAATATAAGAAACACGATTTCAACGAGAAATGTCCTTCTTTTGAGATTATCTTTTTAGTTTAGGCTAAAACGAAATTGTCAAGAGTGTTCTCTGTAGTTTCTTCAGAACTGACTCATTGTTTCGATTTGAGTCAGCTTTGAACTGAGGATCCTAGTTGACTATTAAACTAAAAAATCGCCGATTTATTGCCGATTTTGACTACATAGGGATGGATGTAAACTTCAAAATATCTCGTCCCATTCACCTCTATTATCTATTGAACTAAGTAAACAGGTATCTTATAATAAGAGATTCAAACTATCGATTAAAACTGCTATACATACTTGGTAATAGTTGAACTGCTTGTATCTGATTTGAGTTGAGTAAAAATCTTTGAATGACCGTCTGTTTCTGTTGAATACTCTGATATTTCCATACTAGCCTCGGTAACAATGGCATGAAACCAACTACAGATATTTGTGATTGTCACATGCATAACTCCAAAATAAGCGGCAGCTCGATAATTATGAATAATAATATTAGAATTTTTGAACATGAAAAACAATTGAATGAAGTTAAAAATGATGAATAGCAATTTTTCACAAATGGCTAATGGATTAATACATTGACTAGATGTTTCGACTTGTTTAATTAATATCATCACATTATGTAACAGACTACCAAATGAAAATACAGCAATTCCAATACGCATGTAAAGACCACCTAAAAGTATCATAGAAACGTAAACGAAGACTATTTCAATGAAAAATAATTTTCATAAAACTATCTCTTCAAATGCCAATTAAAATTTTTTCTCTTCATCATCAAAAGACTATAAAAGTGACGTTAAATCTTCTTGAGATAAAGAAAAACTAAGATCGTATTAATGTTGAAATATCAAATTTACTTACCAGATCCAAATTTATCATCGTGATAGTAACCTCCAGCAATATTACCATCAAATGTATTAATTGACATTGATCGTTCCCTTGTGAATTCTTTAACTACTCGAAGTTTAATTTTCCAACGTCGAATATCCCAAAGACAAAAACTAATCCATAAAATTGATAATAAATATAAATAAACAAAAAATCCTTCTTCTAATAAACCAATTGAATTAAAATTTTTAACTGCAAACGAAACAGATAAGGTTATACCAAACAAACTAAATAATAGACCATATACAAGTGATAATATTTTACAAATAATTTCTTTCGATGAACCATTGAAACCTTCAGCAAAATATCGACGAATTTCTTCATCATCCCATTGTTCAAATTCAACATCATCTCCCGCTATATTATTTTCTTGATATATAGGAAATTCTTGATATGCTGCTTCATTAGTATTTGAATTATTCGATATTGCGATTATTTTATCAGGCTGTTCAATATGGATTTTATCGATTTCTGTAAATGTTGAATCTTGTTCTTTGTTAAGATCTTGATCCACCGTAGACAATGGTGAGATTATTAGAGAATTTTTATCGCTACTGTTCAAATGTCGGTTAAACCTAGACACTAGCGGCGATGATTGAGATATGGGAGATTGCTAAAATAAATTAATAAGTCTTAGCGTAGATGAAATTGTTATAAAAAGATCTTTTCATTTTGGCAAGGGTCTATAGACTAATGTTAAAAAGAAAAATATTAAACGACTAATATTAAATATCAATTAAATATTTTTCCATCTGATTTGAATATTAGTCCTTTCAATATTTTTCTTTATTTTAAAATAATTAAACATTTTTCTATCTTACAACAAGAAAATTATTTATTCGTTTAGATAGAAAAATATTTAATTGATTTTTAATATTAGTCGTTTAATATTTTTCTTTTTAACATTTTTCATCATACCCTTTGGCAATAATCATATCGGATGGACTCCTTAGAGAACGTACTTGATGCAAGTACTTGGAAAAATTGGCAAATGTTTTCAAAATTTCTCACTTGCCATGTACTTTCAGAAATACTTCTTGATGATAAAAATACTTGCTTTTATTGCTAAGAAGTACTTTGTGAAAGGCCTTGGCAAGTAAGGGCCTTTATCATCCTAAACCTAAGAAAAAAAGCGTATTTAAAAACCAAAAGTATTTTCCCGTTTGACCAAAAAACTAAAAAGTGTTTTTTAGAAAGAGTCAAAGAGTTTTTTCCTAAACGCATTGGGTTTAGAGAAACATCGTTTTTGGTTTTCTTAGGTAGCGAAAGATTTTCCAGTTTGAGCGAAAAATCAAAAGCATTTTTTAGAAAGAGTTAATCGAACACTTTATATTTCGAAATCCAAGAAACAATTTATCTTAATGTCGGTGAACTCTTATGTATAAGGAAAGAGTGAAAACAAAAAACTTTTGATACGAGATCTCTCAAAATAAAGTGTTTCTTAAGATGATTGGCATACTGTCTTACCCGGTCTCTTCGCGAACATAATGCCTTAATTCTGCTTTAGAAAAGTTAAAAGGCAGATATAACCTAAAAATAGGGTTAAAAGCGGAGTACTTGTCTCAAGCACGTTCTCTAGGGCTACATCTTTTGCTTGTTTGGAGATCTGCTCTCTTTTAATTAGTATCAGGAACAACTGCTGTTTAGTAATAAAAGAAAGTAATGATTCTAAGAAATTGTAGTCGTAGTTTTAAGGGTGTCTTTCCCGTCTATTTGTCATATTGTTAATTTTTGCTCAAATTTTCTAACATGCTCTTCTATGGGTAGTCAGAAATGGGCAAGTTCGGACGATATCAAGTACAAGTACTTTCAAGTTCAGATTCGAACTTACCCACCTCTGTGAGTTATCTGGAGATCTATGTTTTCATCCAGTTACAGGTCAATTTTTATCATAGATATTTCAGACCGTATCTAAGATTCGAACTTTTTTTCCAAACATATGATCGTCTAGAAATATTCAAATAATGTTGAAAATCCTATGTCAAACGTCGGTTTTTTATTTTAAAAATACTCTCATGACGAAACGGTAAAACTGAAAACGTTTTCAAAAAAACTTAGAACCCGAAATAGGGTCTGGAATATTTACAATAAAAGTTTGGGCTAGAGTAGACCATTAGACTATTTTTTCGAGGGCTCTTAAGAGGACTGATTTGGGGCTACAGGGCGTTATGTATACTATATGTAACATTACTCAGACCAGTGTTTTCTTTTCCGTATCAGACTAACGAGGGAACATCCCACAGTGTCCCTCTGAGATTTTGGAGAAATACATGGAGTCTGGTAGAACTAAATGTGCTGATCACGAATATGATACTTTTAGCCGCCACCGTTAGCCCTCTACTAAGTTAGAGTAGTTTTATTTTACTATGGTCAAAAAATGACCTATTTTCGATCGATCACAGTTTTTTTCCAGATACGTTATTCACATTCGTTTAATCTGCTGCTTTGTTAAGAAACTCTTCATCTACAATTTGATATATGGGACATAACAATGCGACTTATAGTATTCCCGAAACAAATAAGCATTTACTGTACACGTATCTTTTGCTATGCATCATAATTGTTTGCTCCTATATTTCTGTACAAAACAATAATTTTGCTTTTTTAAATATGTCAATTTGTAGTGAATTCAAAACACTTTCTTATGATATATTACATTTGACTTTAACGTTTATTATCAGTATAAATGTTTCAATTAGCTTTCAACTTTATCTATTTCTTAATAATTCTACCGACAGAAAGGATGAAACACTATGGAAAACGCTTGATAAGTATAGTTTCAACGCTCGAATGGTTAAGTCCCATATACCAAATTGTAGATGAAGAGTTTCTTAACAAAGCAGCAGATTAAACGAATGTGAATAACGTATCTGGAAAAAAACTGTGATCGATCGAAAATAGGTCATTTTTTGACCATAGTAAAATAAAACTACTCTAACTTAGTAGAGGGCTAACAGTGGCGGCTAAAAGTATCATATTCGTGATCAGCGCATTTAGTTCTACCAGACCCCATGTATTTCTCCAAAATCCCAGAGGGATACTTCGGGATGTTCCCTCGTAAGTATAGAAACAAGTTTGAAGACACAAGAAAGATAAATTAACAAAACTAAAAATATTACGTTTTTTTTCAGTTCAGTTCCTTGAGCAAAAACTTTAAAAATTCATAACTTTTTCGGAAAAGATCGTGGCCGCTAGGAGTGACCTTATTTTATGGCCTAGGCTTCCATTTAAAATAGACTGTCCAAATTAAAATTAAAATCCGTATTAAAAAAGGAAGGAGAAGGTACCCTTAAGAAATCTAATACTCTTACTGTACTCCAGCTCAAAAAAAGCTAAAAATAGCAGTTTTAACCAGCGCACGCTTAATCACTAGCTCTCTTTAAATAGGCATTCGAAAATGACAGGTGTACTTATAGAAATTATGATACTTAACCGAGCAATATGATTTATACCAAAAGAATATTAGCGCCACGCTGACCTCAATTTTTAAGAAAATTTTCTTGTGTTATTCGCCGGTGAAGGAAATGTTGTTCACCCTTTAGAAAATACAAGCACAATTTGAACATCTGCAGAGACATTTTCTAAAAACTTACAGTATTCTTTTTATATTGCTGCGTTTGTGAAGAGAACACAGGAAATCAGTCAGAACTCACGAGGGAACCTCTCGAGGTGATAAAATGCTTTTTACTCGGAATCTAGTCGGTTATAGGTTATCGACCATGGGTCGGCCCTTAGCTCTTCGACTACCTGGTTTTATAGAAAACCAGTTTTTCACAAACTCTAAAATATAACCAGAACCTTTCTTAATAAGGCATGATTGTAGCCCGCAAATTTCTGATTAAACTGAGACATCCTTCAGTGTTACACGACCTTTCTTTGCAAGAAAAGCCCTAAGTGTTCATGTCAGTTGAAAGATTACAGAAACAAGAAAATTTATAAATTTCGGCTTTTCGGGCTTTTCTTATAAATTCTGTAACTTTGCAAAGAAAAATCGTGTAAAGCTGGATGATATCTCAGTTTAATCAGAAATTTCCGGACTATAATCATGTCTCATTAAGAAAAGTTCTGATTATATTTTAGAATTTCTGAAAAACTGGTTTTCCAGAAAACCGAATCTTTGAAAGGCTAAGAGCCACTTCCAAGATCGTATTCGGCATCAGCATGGTCGATAACCTATAACCCACTAGATTCCGAGCAAAAAGTGTTTTATCACTTAGAGGAGTTCCCTCGTCAGCACTTTTTAGAAAGTAATACTCGGCTTTAGTTCTTCGGAATAATAGATGAAAGTTTCGCAATACTTACATCATCGACTGATCTGGTTCGATTGTTTGTAAGAGCACACAAAGATTGTCGACGGCTTGCATTCATTTTTAATTTATCATACAATGCCGGAAATTTGTGAGGTTGATTTAACGAAGCGATAAGTTGTAATCGTCCTTTGCTCGGTAAACCCAAATCAGCCGCTGTTAAACGTCGATTTTGAAGAAGATGGGATTGAGGTAAGGTGGAACTGATATTATTGTCTTTCTCTTCGTGTATATTATGTTGACCGTTTAAGAAAAATTTTGCGTGTTTATTATTATTGTTACTGTAATTACCCAGTAACGTCATATTCAAACAACTAATTGATCTTCTTCGATCAGTAAATATTCGTGGTTTAACTTCTTTAGTTGCAGTATCATTAGAACTTGACCTATACTGTTCCATATCTGGAAACGATGATACCTGGAACATTTCAATAGTGCAAACGTTACACTTATATAAAAAAAATTTAGTTGTTTTAGCTTTCAGTAAAGAAAGCGCACATATCTATATCATTGAAGTGACAATCATTCTTTTTATCAATTTTAAAAAAATTATATAAAACTTTTTCTGCTATAAAACGTTTTATGATTTCTGTACTTCACATGTTATAAAAAGAAAAATTGGTAATAAATTCATAATGTGTAGAGGTAATAATAGAAAAACATTTCAAGACTCTGCCAACTTATTATCGTCGAATTAAGGTATTTTATCCGAAAGGTATGAAAGTTAATAAACTTTGATATAATTTAAAAATGGTTTCTGAATAGGTGTTTTTGACTCATTGTTTATTGAATTTTTTTTCGTATTGAATAATCATCAACAATCGAATTGTAGAGATACCTAATTGTTAGTTGATGATCATAATATGATGGTATGTTAGCAATACTAACTGAAAGTTTTGTTTGAAGAAAAATTTTCATACTTCGAATCGTCCAGTTTTGCACAATAGTTTGATTTTTATTTAAAGAAAACCGTTGCTTTTTCTGCATAATATTCAAATAAAGAAAATAAATTAAGAATTGTGATCTGATCGTAACCGACAAAAAAATATAAAAATATTCAGATTTGCTGTGCCCATTTTCTGTAGTATTCTGAGTAAAAGAAGATTATTCAGTTATTGTAGACTAGAATTCCGCTGATCAGAAAAGTTCATACAGCTTTGCTATTGATGATCTTGTCTCAAGTTTATCTATTGTAATTTTCAGGTCTGATTAATATGAGGTCGGACTTTATTCTCTACTCTCTCGGTGAGAATTAGTGCAAGTATTCCTAAACACTATTAAGGAGAGAAAAGTTAATGAAACTAGAAAATTGAGCTTTTTAAGGTTTTGAAGGAAAAACTTCAGAGTAGCCCACACTTTCCTCTACATCAGGCTATACTCAGCTCAAAATCCCAAATTTTCTTAAAAAAAAAGAGGGGAGGGGGACCGGGGTACCCTTAATTATTCTGATTGTAAGACTGTACTTGAAAGTTTTTTACGAACAAAAGTTTGCGTAAGATTTAGAATCAACCGGTTGTACCCGATAGGTCATAAATTGGTATTCTCAGGAAAGCTTTTTAACAAATAATGGTTATTGTTAGCTTTTTTGTCGAAAATATGATTTTGGTTATTTAGCAATGAAACATGTGTTGAGGTAAAGTTTGCGGTTCGTGAGATACGTATCTTTACTGTGCTCGAACCTATTACACCACGCATTCTTCTTTGGATTTCTGAGTTCTGTTTCAAATTACTTAATGTTTTGTATCAGCAGAAGACAAAGTTTTCTTTTTTAGTTTAAAATTTAAGGAACCGGTGCATCCCTACTTGCAGCAAACCAATATTTGGCTAATTTTTATTTAAAAAAATATTTTCTGCTTTTTACACTTCTATACATCTTCATACAACTTCATATAGGGACGTGTGGAAGTGTATGAAGATGTACAGAAATGCAGTCGAAAATCTGATGTTCGTTGTTTGTTAGTCTAGTTCATTTTCGTCATAATCTCTTTCTAAACTGAATCTATTAACAAGATTTCCTAATTCCTCGTAAATCTTGTCTTTTCAACGCATTTAATGTTCGTTCAGCATCCTCAAATCGATCTTGATTATTTAGTGTTGTAACTAATGCTTTTGCCACTGACTTAATTGCGCCATTTTGTTTTTGTTTTATTGCATCTTTGACCTGTTGAGCTTGTTGAATAACGTTTTTGAGATCATTTATGTTTCTTTCTTCTTTGTATGTTTCGATTAATTCTCTTGATATATCTTCCGTTGCAAATTGCATTTCTTGTGCAGCATCGGCTAGACGATCTTCGTCGTTTACAATTGCTGAACGTCCGTATTCTTGTTGATTAGTGCAATTAGCATCACTGTTAACTAACATAAGCGATGTTTGCCGTCTGGCCAGTTCAGCTTTTTTTCTTTTGTCTGTCATTTCTTCTCTAGCACGTTTACGATATTCTTCTTCTTCGACTTTAAACTGAGCTAGTGAATGACTACGTTGTAATAATTCGTTATTAATTGCTTTCTTAACCTCTAATGCACTTTCTCGGGCTGCTTTACCACCAACAGCAGTTAAAGTCGTACTTGTCAACGCTATGCCGCCAACAACAGAGTCAGCTACTGTCATACTAAATACTGATGTATCAGCGTACAATGCTGTACCAACAGCGCCAGCGACTGCACCAATACCAATCGAGATGGCCACACTACCAATAACAAGTATTGCCGTTTTACTCGGGTTGTCTTTGACCCATTCCTATGCAATTTTGGCTGTTTGTAGAGGATTACAAAATACATGCAGAATGTTTTTACCACTTTCAACAGGTGAACAAATTGGATTTAAAACTGCTTGTGATAATGTAAATCCATTGTTTCGTATTTGTTGTAGTTTATGACGTATGCTTTCATAGATTTCACCAATTTTTTTAGCCATTTGTTGTAAAAATGTTCGTTTCTGTTCTAAATTAACTAATTCGATAGCAGCATCGATTTCTCGATTTTGTAGTTCGACAGGCTTACTAGCCTCTTGAACATCATTTTCGAATTTTCGCCATTCATTTGAAAAATAAAGATTAAATATTGAAAATTGAATTTCATCATCCGTTGAATAATGTAGCTGAAGTCGTCTTTTAATCGATCTTTATGCAGTTCATACATCTCTTTTGTGTTAAATGCTAATATTTTACGTAAGATCGAACAAAAATATTCTTTCACATAACGTGCTTGACTATCTCTTACTGTTCGTTTTCTTAGAGTTTCTTTCACATGGTCGTATTCGGTTAACGCTGCATTGAAACTAGCTTCATTTGGGTATTTTTCGTTGAGAATATCATTCATTAGTTCATGAATATGTCGTGCACTTAGGCCATGTTCATCACTCATTAATACAGAACAATGCTCTCGGAACAGCTCATAATTCCATATTAGCCAGTTTTTAAAATCTGTATATAATGAACCATTTCCTTTAGCTTCTCGAATTGCTATTTCCAACATTTTTTTTAAACTATCTATAGCATCATATTGCACTTGACTAAAACTTCTTTGATCATGATGATTTTTAACACGTTGTAAACTCAGTCGAAAATAGTAACAATGTCTAATAGCACGATGCTTAGCAATCGATGTGACAGAAGTCATTTTTGAGACATTATAACATGTGAAGTACAAAAATCATAAAATATTTTATAGCAGAAAAAGTTTTATATAATTTTTTTAAAATTGATAAAAAGAATGATTGTCACTTCAATGATATAGACATGTGCGCTTTCTTTACTGAAAGCTAAAACAACTAAATTTCCTTTTATATCAGTGAATAATAAAACGAAAAATTCAATGGGAAACACAGCACACGCTTCAGTGAAGAAAAATTTTCGTATTTCGAATCGATCAAGTTTCGTATAATACTTTGATTTTTATTCAAAGAAAACCGTTGCTTTTTCAGCATAATGTTCAAATAAAGAAAATAAATTAAGAATTGTGATCTCATCGTAACCGACAAAAAAATATAAAAACATTTAGATTTGTTGTGCCCATTTTCTGTAGTATTCTGAGTAAAAGAAGATTGTTCAGTTATTGTAGACTAGAATTCCGCTGATCAGAAAAGTTCATACAGCTTTGCTATTGATGACCTTGCCTCAAGTTTATCTATTGTAATTTTCAGGTCTGATTAATATGAGGTCGGACTTTATTCTCTACTCTCTCGGTGAGAATTAGTGCAAGTATTCCTAAACACTATTAAGAGCTTTACGTTGAATATTGACAAACAATTCATATATTCGTTATATGCAACTTCCTTGTTATTAGAAATAATGCAACGACTACATCGAGATTTATGGCTATTTCATTTAATCATTGTGTGCAAATATCCAAAAGTGGAATAATTGAAAAAGAGAAAGATTGTTTCAGAAACTATCATCAATTATCTTTGGTAGTCTGTCAGATATGTGACATATATTTTAGTCAGGATTATGGGATTAGCGCTTTCAAAAAATTCAGTGCATCGCCTAAACTACTGAAAACTCAGATGTCACTTGACTCTGGTTTGGACATCTGGGACTATCTTTCTATAAAAACAATCTAAAATGTTAATATTTTAATTTTGAGAGTTTCACACTGATTTTGCATATATCTCTCGAAGTCTACTGAAGGAAAGATTTTTAGAATATGGTTTTAATAAAACGATAGTCTCAGATTTTCTCTTTCGAATGGCAAAAACCGTAAATAGTTATTCAAAACACATTTGTACCCATCCGATTCTGAAATGGATAGTAGTTTCATTTCGAATCAGGTTGGAAAAAGGAAAAAGGTTATATAATATAAAATCCACAGTGCTATTGGAAATTATTTCTGTTGTCATCTCGTCAGTTTTATTCATTGAGTCTTATAGTTTAACAAGATCTAGGTAGATCCATCCCTGTCACGCTGTAATGCTAGAGTGTCTTTGTAGATGGTACTGAAATAGATAAGCTCGGATTCCGAGTATTTTTCGAACGAACTGGCTAATATTCTACACAAACAAATGTAATTAGTAACCTACGATGTAAAAGTAATTGGACAAATGTCTCTCCATTTTTCTTGTGGTAAAGCACATTCCGAGAATATCAAAAATATTTATTTTGAAAGTATACTTTGGGAGCTTTCTAATTATGTGTTCAGAAATATTCTATCGCTTTTAGTTCTTTTGCAGTTAGCGAATCTTTGTTATCACCAAAAATTTAGGCTGTAACAATAAAAATTTTGAATATTTTTTCATTTTGACAATAACTACTTCAAATTGAAAGATTAAACTTTGGTTTACTTACTAGTTTATAAAGGAGAATTTTCTCTGTCAACCAGACGATCTTAGATTATTTTTGCATTGCGAAAACTGGTCAAACTTTTAATTTTACCAAAAGCCTGCTTGGTGATAAATTGTATTTTTCTCGAAATCCTTTTTGGATAAAAGATGATGTTCAAAAACACGCGAATAATTTTCGACTGTTATGTTGTGTATCCTATTTTAACATCTTATTGTGTAGAGACTTGTCTGTTCTACAATTTTATGCCATAAAAACGTTTTAGTAATGGACTTAAAAAATTTATATAAGGAATACAGGCACTGAGCGGGGTGCATGATGGGGTGGAAGGATCACACACTTTCCTGCTCTGAAAAAATATATTTTCCATCTGGACGAAGGGACATTTTTTATTGTGTTCTGTTGCAGAAAGCAAGAGCAAAAAAAGTTTATCCACGAGAGACCTTCCTTGCTTTTTGATTTTGCCAAGCCCGTGACTTACATTTGTCGAAAAATACCAGTTTTTCTTTTTTTACAAACTTAATTTTTAAAGCATAGCAAAGATTCATTCATTCTGAGGAGACTAAAAGCGACAGAAAATGTTTGAACACACAGTTCAAAAACTCTTTAAATGTAGATTCTCAACAGATTTTTTTGCACAAATTTTCATCACAAGAAAAATGATGAGACATTTTGTCCAATTGCTTTTGCATCGTAGGTTAAAGAACAATATTTTTAATAATTAGCAGAGCTAAATAAATGGAATGTTATGCAAAACTGAACTAAAGTGCAGACGTTGAAAAAATGAGCTGATAGAATATTAATAAGTTAATAAAATGTTCTATGTCTCTGTACTGAAATGTGTTTATAATAACTTTATTAGTCATTAATAATATTACAACAAGATTCGTTGACCTGGGCTGGCCTCGAGCTATCGCTGTGAGACAGTAATAAAAAAGCAATTGTTTTCAAATGAGATAATCCTGCTACGGTTTTCATTATGAACATATTTGAATTCTGTAGAACTTTTCTGTCAAAAATTATTTGGTATTCGTATTTTGAATAATCAATGTATTAAAGTGATTTTATTTAGTTGATATAGTTACTCTTCTCTTCCTTTATAGTTCAATGTCCATTTTTTCCTGTAAACCGATCCATGCATCGTATTTTAATTCATATCATATAAACAATGGTCTGTAGGCAGTACACGAAATGAAAAGTCATTCATTGGTCAAGATTTTGTACAATGCGTGGACTTTATCCCTTATTTCACTGAACACTAGACGCTTCCTGTTTATTCCGACAGATATTGTATTATATGCCCAATTCATTCTTAAAGTTTGTATGGTTACATATAGGCGTGAGTAACTCGAGGCATGAGTACAAAAATAAATATATATATTATTGATTCTATTATATTGTAAATTAGAATAAGATGATAATACTTTTATTTACAACTACAGCATACAAATTGAATCAGAGATAAAATTAGAAATTAGTAAGATTTATCAGTTGTTATGAAGAAGAAGAAAAAAAAAAATGGTATTTTGAAGTTAATTTCTCAACTTAACTAAAATTTAAACAAACATGTTTATAAAACTTCATTGGTAAGTGAACAGTAATGTGTCAAGGTTAAAATATAAAGTACATAGTTATTATTCTTCAATCTTACTTATATTTATGTAATACTTCAAACTCTTTCTTTACTAATTATCTTTCATTTCGAGATAGTGTTTTCTAATGAAAAACATCATAAAAACGAAGAAATTCTGTTTAAATACGGCCTATTAAAGCTTACATCTCAACTTTGTTTTTTCTTTATTCATTTGATAATATAACTAAGTACTTATAACTATGTGATAGTTTAATTTTTTTTTTCCGATAACAATTCAATTTCTATATAAGAATAGTCATAGCATCAGAATCAGACGAACCAATACAAATAAATATAGAATAAATGTTAATCATTCATTGTCTAAATCCAATTATCATACTTCTCTATGTGTTTGATATAACAATTTGTCTATGGCTTTTACAAACAAAACAAAAAAAAATAATTGTAATAGGATAGTAATAGTAGCAGATCTATCTATGCAAAAGATAGTTAATAATTCCATATATCGAACTTTTAAGTATGATGACGTCAACGTACTTTATAACACATTATTTTCAATAGTACTAACAACCATCTTACGAATTTTATAATAAAATGCATTTATTTCGTTTTCATCAATTACCGATACAACAAAAAGTTCAAAAATATCATCAACAAACACAAAATGATAAAAATGATGTGGAAATATCAGCGACAAGCCATTTACTATGTAGAACAAATATTTCACCAAGTCAACAACAACAACAACAACAACAACAAAAACAACAACAAGATCGCTCACGAATTCCGTTTTCTAAAAAGGTAAAATCTCACTTGTTACCAATTATTAAATATGTTGAATTTATTTAAAAAAAATGTTACGATAAATTTTTTGTTTTGTAATCGCTTAGTGAAAGTGTCTATTTTTTTTGAGTTTTTTAAAAAAAGAAAAAATTTCGATTATTGGGGAAGGGGAAGGGGGCGGGGTTACCCGTACGCTTCCCCCTCCCCTATAAAACCAGTCCTGAAAATATCTGCGAATATTGGACAGATTATGTTTTCTCTGTCTTACGAACTAAATCTGGAGTCACTAACACTTTTGCCGTATAACAAAAAAATTCAAATTTTTTAAATTCTTCAAGTTTCTTCAATCAATAAGTGTCTTTAGAAGTGTCCTCTTATAAATCATACACCCTCTATTCTTTAATTGTTTCTCTCATAACCATCATTATTCATAGACAATAACAGAGTATTTTATTAAATACTCATTCATAAAACTGTCATATTCTAGAAGCGAAACCATTTTTTCTCGTCAATATATAATAGATAGAACAAAAACAAATAAATGATCAAATGAAATGACGAAAAAAGAAGATCAGTTAATTTTTTTTGTGTGTGCTAGTGAAGGACTGATGACAGATAAGAGGGAGATAAAAAAAAGAATATGAAGACATTATACACATGTTTGCATATTTATTGTCAAGTAGTAGTCAATCTATTATGAAACAAGACATGACATTCAACATTTTCTCTCTTTTATTCCTATTTTTCTATGTTATTTATATGGCTAGTTCTATGTTATTTTGATGATGCAATTTGTATGGTCAATAAGTTCAACATGAAGAAAAACAACCTTGAAAAAGTACACAAAAATAGTTCTCTAAAATAATTGAGTGTGAATTACAAGTGTGTATGGTACTTCACATAATGAAAAATTCTCGCGTACTATTTCTTTGAAATAATAACACGTATTTTTCTAAATGTTTGATTCTATAAAGACAGCCATATACATTTGTGTTAAAACGTATCACTAGCATTAATGTATGTCATTGAATAACTCGAGTATAATCATCGAGTATTTTTATTAAAAATAATGCTACTTATAGGAAAATAAATTCTTTTTGTTAAAACTAAAACATGTTTTTCTATCATTGGCATCGTCGCTCTCATCATAGGCAAACAGAAGTAATTAATCAAAACTATGTACAACATGATAATCAATCGATAAATCAACTAACAAGATCCCATCGAAATCTGACAGATGATGATCAGAACTATTGTCAAAATGATTTATTAATTACAGAGGTAATTTTGTCAGAACTTTAACAAAAAAAATCTATAATTATGTTTTTTTCTTCATTGAGATCTAGAAAACCGTTTGAAAATCTAGAAAAAATATCGCATAAGTTTCTTACAATACATTTTGATTAGAAGAAAAAAAAAAATTTTTGATGTGAAAACATTTTGTTTAAAGAGACAATTAAGACATAATTGATGTTATGTAGGAAATCTTACTATGAAATGAATAATATCCTTTTTTCTCCATTTATTATTGTTTTTTCCTATTTAGAAAATTTGATAAAATTATGTTAGTTCTGAAAATATGTATATTTTCATATATAAAACCGAATAGATTACGCTCAATGAAAAAATAATAAAAACATTTGTGTAAACCAACTGATATTTTTGCTCGCTGTCAGAAAATGTTAAATGTAAATTTGATCTTAGAACATCTTACATCTTAATGAGGATACGAGAGCTAGTAAAACTTTAATAACAAACAAACCGAAACATTTTTTCATGGACTCTTCGCTTTGAAGCGAAACATTTCTTTTGTATTACAACTTTTTGCTATTATTCGTGAATGTGTTTTCTGAATAAAATATAGAAGAAAAACATCACTGATGGATGAATGTTACAAACGTTTCACAATGTACTAGTCATACTCGCACATTCTAAAAAAGAAAAAGAATAAAAGCATTCTCTTATATAAAATTTTTCAATATTTATTGCCGTTCAAGAGACGAAAATAAATTCGACTTCTGTAGAATATTTAAAACTGAAGAACGTGAACAATGAACCTCTATAGGGATGACGAGTAGAAAATAATATTTCAACAAATTTGTTTTTGCTATGACGTTGCCATTTGAAAAAATGAAAAGTTCAAACTGCTTTTACAAATACTACTCACCAATATGAACATCTTTTGTAGCGAAAAGAAAAGTTTTGAGTTTGTTTTAAGAAAAACTGTA